TTTCATGAGAAGCCACTTTGAAGATATCAATATGTAATACAACCACCATTGTTAATTCCCTACCACTTTGTTTGTAACTCTGTATTGTCTGTATTGTGCTTGTGATATGTTGTAAAATGTTGTATGTCTGTTAATGTTTCCCTCCTTTTACCCTTAAAATAAAAAAAAAAAAAAAAAAAAAAAAAAAAAAGATTTATTGTCTTTCCCATTCAGCTTACTATGTCCAACTATTTCAATGCCAAATTGCATCCCCATTAGGGTCATCTCCTTCGACAGCTTTCCTGAGGCTCGATCAGGTGCTGTTCCTACGGCTTCCAGAGGCCCCACGGCATTTCTCTAGTGCTATCTGCACCACTCAGTTGTCTAATTGCTAGTTTGTCTATCTCTCAGTCCCGCCAAACCAGGAGCTTTAATTTGTCATAACATCCTCTGACTAGAGGAATAGACCTTTAGTAAGTATTTATTGAGTTTTTAAATACGGGCAAAGCTATCAAGGTGGAAACCTGTTGGATGTGTTACAGGGAAATGATTAATACATTTCAAAGGGTAAATGTAGGTAAGGTTTGAAATGCTGCATTCTGAATCACCAGGCAAAATACAGGGCAGGACTATAGCTGTAGGGAGAAAGGAAACCAAAATAAAGCAGCTCGGCACCGAACCATTGATGCAAAGGGACACGCATGCACACACATGCGGGGGACACAATGTAAGCTGAGATTGACAGCCATGGGCACAGAGTTGAACGTGACAGGCAGGCTCCAAACCTGGTGTCGATTTTCCTAGCATAACTATGGCTCCAGAAGTGGAATTAGGGAGCTTTTGAAGTTTGCTATCTGTAATGGCTAGGAAAGATAAATGGGATTATATCCTGAAACATCTGAAAAACCAGACTGAAGATGAGCTCTGAGTACCCGGGCAGTCACTGAATAATCACTGAATAAAGACAACATCGAAACTTAGAACACGAGTGAACCGTGTTGTATAACACCAAGTTCAACATACGGGGATTGAATGTGATTGGATTTTAGGAAAATATTCCATTTTGATGATAATGGCCATAAATATTCAGACTAGTAAAGCTGCAAGAATGAAAACTGTATCATCCATGGGAAAAACTGGAAGTCTCTTTGAGACCTGACAGGAGGAAAGAGAAGCATCCATCTGCAAACACAAATTTCAGGGCAATGGAATGGTTAAATATTCATGAAAGAAACAATGTTTCGGAGCTAGGTATTTTTTCTTTGACAAATAACTCCTTAGGTTTAGAGTATCTGTACTGTTCTTATGCAAAGAATACTGATAATTCACTTTCCATTATTAATCTGTCTTAATCTTGTGCAAAGAATACTGATAATTCACTTTCCATTATTAATCTAGACGGACCTTCATGAGAACAAAACAGTCTCATACCTCGGGCTTCCACAGGTACCGGCTCGCATCGGCAGCTGCGCAGGCACGGCAGTCTGGCAGTACGGCCGGCTCCAGGAGATCTGTCTTGCCGAGTCAACCCTATATTAAACACTTTTACCTGTATTCCTCGATCCCTTCTTCCTTCTCCAAAAAGTATTTTGTAAATAAAACAAAAACAAAACCATATTCCAAACCGATAACATTGCCTTTGAAAAAGTGATAAGAAAATTGCATTTCACAGTATTGCGGGAAAGAGCCTCATAAAATTTCCTGATTCGCCCGATATTCCACTCTCATGATTCACTTTTAAAATAAAAATTTTAACACCTGATACTTGTCCATGTACCAGTTTTCTAACTTCATAAATGGAAGCCAAAAACATATGATAATATGATTTTCTGTGTTTTGATAGAATTGAAAACAAGTTAATACTGCTTAAAACCACTGTGACAACAAAAAATATTGTCACTTGGTTTTATAAAGCTCATTATTCAGAGCTCTGGACGATCATGTGAACATTTAAAAACACATAATTCTTTTAATTATAATTAAAATGGGAGAAAATCCCATACTTGGATAGAATAATCATTCTACTTATGGGTATTAATCATTTTCTACTGGACGCAAAGTCCTTGAAGACAAAGATAAGATTTCTTTGCCTATATATTGATAGACTTAGTACAATACTTGATGTAATAAACAGTCAAAATGTTTTATGAATAAATGACACTTTAAAAAATAACACTTACATTGAGCCCAGTATGCACGTGGCATCTACCAAAATGCTTTACAAACATTAACTCATTTAATATTTATTAATATTAATAATAATAAAAGAAAAAAGTCTTCATTTGACAAAGGAAATTAAGGTAGGAAAGGTTAAATTACTTGTCCAAGCCACACAGCTAGAAAACGATCAAGCCGGGAGCCAAATCCCCAGCAGAGCTGTGCTAGAGTCCATGTTCGTAACTTTAAAATTTATTAAATGAATGCACCTTTCAAATTAAAAAAATACAAATATGCATATCAATATATACTTCATTATATTATTGAACTCAGACTAAGAAAATTTGTGTTGAAATACATCTTTAATTTAGTTGTTTGTGGCTTTGAACAAATTCATTAACCCAGTGGGTCCTCAATTTCCTTAATGTAAAAGCAGAATAATAGCTTGTATCTTGCAAGCCTATTGAGAATTTTAAAAATTAATTTTTATTAAAAACTAGAACGTAAATTGGAACTCAGAATGTTAGCTGACATGCCAAGGAGAATAATATCATTTTCTTCCTTTCCCCTTTCAAAAAGGTACATGTTGCGCATTGCACATTACATAGGTTCTAGCAAATTCTGTTTCATCAAGCATTATTTTCAACGTCTCTCAAAGCCAGAGTTCATTCACTAAAGCCTTTTCTAAATGGCCAGGTAAGCTTCAAAGCCAGTAGCTTGTTTTCTGAAAAAACAATATTTTCCCTGGAAACTGTTGTGAGTTAAATATCTAACACCAGATAAAAAAATCTCTTTCTTCAAATTGGGAAATCAAATGATAATAAAGACTAGACTAGCAATACAAAAATGACATTTATTTTTATTAAGACCCTCCAAAATTATTGGGTCCCATCAAATCCACCGATTAGACCAGCAATACAACAAATATACAATGACATTTACATTCACCAAGACTCTCCAACACCACAGGCACTGCCAGATCTGATGAAAACTACCCTGGTCAGTGGCTCTCAGCCATGATTTCATGCTAAAGAAAAACACAAGACGCAGATCCCTTCCTCGAATATTCTGATCTAAATGGTTATTTTTTTTCAAGTTCCCGTTGTTTCTAATATGCAGCCCAAGTTCAGAATTAGCTTAGGTTATCAGGGAAAACATCACTTGTGTCCTATTCTCATTTCACTTTTACTTTAATAAAAACCAATAATAAATAATATGTGCATTCATGTTAACACTGAAATAGCCTGAGGGTCACCAAGGACAGAGTTGCCATGGCACACCTGCTCTGATATTTAGCTCCCTTCAATCAATTAAAGCAAACACTATATCCATCTACGTCTTTCATTATCTGAAATCCCAAAAATACAAGAAAATGGGTAGCAGAAGTTATATTGGCTCATTTTTTTCAACTTCAGGAATAATAATACGTACAGTACAACTCTGAGAGTATATGTTCTTGTGAATCATTTCTAGCAAGAATTTCATGTTTACTACACTCTGTGTTGACGTGGTCAATATCTCAGAACGTTTTACAATCTGACTGAATATTATTCTTGTGGCTTTAGTTCCTAAAATCAACTGTAGGTTAGAGGTATTGTTGAGCCAAAACAAACCCCAGTTAAGGGGTGTTTTGGGCTGTTAATATACTGAATAGGAATGAGGGTCCACTGAGACTACTATAAACTGCAAAGGATTTTGAAAATCTAATCATTTTAATTCCTCTTATGCAAACATATAAAACCAAGAATTTCAACATTTCAAACCTGAGTTTTTAAACTCTTGAATGCACAGTAGGTTAACAACATGCTACTGCAAATGTTACAAATGATACTTTATAAATCCCGCAACACCAAAAGCATTCCTATTTTGTCAATGATAAGCCAACTAGCCCGAATGAATAAAATACTTGTTTTCTATGACCAGATAGCACACACTCAATTGGACACTCTGCTACTCAGTGATTAGCTTAAGTCTACATGCACAAACTCTGGTTTGATCCGGGCATTTCATTTCCAATTATCCAACATCCTTGACAAACAGCTCTAAGCAGACGACTTCGCTCTGGTTTACCACAGCCCTAAAACGGTCAGGGTCTCCCGAAGGTCACACGATCTCGCCTTACATATGCCACATAACATCAGAGCTTTCAGATAGAACTTTTTAAAGGGTAGATTTGTTAAAGAAAGCCAGCATGATAGGTTAAAAATTTAATTAGATGGCTGATTTTTGACAGACTAAATTTCCTTCAGGGAAAATGAATGTTTTGAGAATAGGAATTAATTTGTTGGAGCTTTTCTTGATGTCTTTCACCCGGGCCTGGACAGAGCATCAAGAAAAAGAGTATTCTTTTGGAAACTGTGCACACAACATATTTTTCCTAATAGGTGTGAAGAATGGCTGCTATGCATAAGTGATTGTTGGGAAATAATTCTCTGTAAAACATGACCAAACCAGCAACTCCATTCACTACTGTATTCATTCCCGATATCCAAGACCAACACGGCACATCTTACAGGTGCTGATGTTACCAATCCACAACTTTAAACCGTTATACTCAGTAAACTGGAGAATGAAAGTTTCAAGAGAAAATTAATATCAACAAACTCGAACAAGTCACGAGACCTCAGAGGTGTCTGCAATATGAAACAGCGCTGTGACACCTTCCCAGGACGCCCGTGATTTCTTTGGTCCACGGCAAAGTGAAATGACTGAGACCAAGCAGCCCCGACCCGAGAACCCCCAAAACATCACCAGCAAACCTCAGTTCTGCAACTGAAAAGCAAGGAGCCTTCCCCACCTTCCCTGTTAGCCATCCCCGGGACCCCCCAAAGCTTTAAATCCAGCTCATCCCAGACCCTCCTTACCAGGGATTCTCTCACTGGGCGCTGGGCGTCCACAGGTGCAGATGGTGGCTCCGGAGACCCAGTCCGTCCTGGCCTGGAGATGCCAGCCTCGGGGACAGGTGCGGATGGGCGCACCTCTCCAACCCGGGAAGGTCTGCGAGCCGCGGGGCGCAGCCCACCCAGCGTCCGGGGGGCTGAGTCCTAGTAGGATGTGAGAGCAAACTGCGTTAGTCTAGAGCTCCCTACTGCTGACCCCTCCCGGTCCCTAACACTTTAATCCTGCCTTAAGGGACGGTTGAACGCCCGGCCCCGGGTGGTCGAGGGGCTGGCAGCTGCTCTTTCCCGAGCCCGCGTCCTCCCGCCCCAAAGCGCGGGAGACTCACCTTGCGGCGCCTGCTGCCTGCGCTCGCCCCGCTGTGAAGCTGAGCGCAAACTTCTCCGACTTAAGTCCTCTCCGCGCGCCCCGCCCTCGCCGGCCGCCAGCCTCTCACAGCACAGGCGGGGGCGGCAGAGCTGCGGCGAGCGGCCCCTCCCGGACCTCCCCCGACTTCTCCCCCGCTCCAACCCCCCCTGGTCCCTGCAGAGGGAGGGGCGAGCCTGGGAGCTGCGTGCGCCTCCGCGCCAGCCCCTCGCGCCCTGGCCCACCAGAGGGGCTGCGCATCCCAGAGACCCCCGGCGCTGTATAAACGCGGGAAGCAGGCGAGGGACCCGAGTTAGACCTGGAGTGGGGACGGAGTGGGGGGCGACAGACTAGGCTGGGATATTGCTAACCCGTCCTCGGAGACGGCTTTCTGGGAGTCCTCTCCCTTCCCCGGAGGATGCAAATTCCGGAGGGAGGTGAGTTTCCCAAGGACCCTAACCCCTGGCCACTCGGTGACAGAACCCCGGAGCCTGTGCAGGTGGATCGGTAGTTGGGCGAGGTAGTCGAAGTGCGATGGGGCGTGAAAAGACCGCTGCCTAAGAGCTGGGGTGCAGAAAAAGGAGCTGGGGCAGGAGGTAAGCGGAGAGACCCTGGGGTCCCGCAGACGCTGCGACGGCGTCCGGAGCTGGGTCGCTGGCTGAGCCAGGGCGCAGCTTGGGTTTGAGGAAACGGTGCTCTCCACGTAGGGGAAGGCTGATGGACCCAGGGTCCGGGGTGCGGAAGGACAGGGTGCCAGGTGCTTGACTTGGTGTTGAGGACCGCAACGACTCCTGGTTTTCACAAAGCCCTTAGATGCCAGCAGGCGCCCGGGACAATCTGATTCCGGGCAGGGCGCAGCCGGGGCTGGCAGGCGCGCCCCGGGAGGCAGGCAAGTTGGTTCCAAGGACGGGCTGCCCTCAACCTCCTTTAGCACACAGCTGGGTGCAGCAAGGCAGCAGGGGACCCTTGTTTCCTAACTCTGCCCCAGGGGTGTTGGGCTACGGAAGCAGCATCCCGTGCGTCCCGGGACCGCAAGGTGGCTGTACACCGTCGAGGTTTCTAACACTGTTTCCTTGGCAAAAGAAATAACAATACAGCATAATAGGACGGGGCTAAAGCCAGAAAGCAGCAACACAGTACACTCTCCCGGGGCAGTGTCAGTGCGGGGTTCTTTTAAAGCACACGAGGCAAACCCAGAGACCAAGGCAGAAGGGTCTGGCCATGGGGCTGCTACCCTGACTCTTAAGGGTCAGTGACTTTAAGGGGAACGTGTGTCTCCCCATCCTATACTGAACTCTCACCTATAGTGTACTCTCAAACTATATTGAAAGTCCCAGGGCGACTTTCAGAGCCCCTAATTTATGTGGTTGGGGACTTTCCCGGCCACAGTGGGAGATAAGATACAGGGATTGAAGGGCTTTACCAAAACCAGACATCCTACGGGTTGCATCTTTCATGCTCCCCCCTCTGTCTGCCTCCCCTTTTCCAGCCACTTTCAGCATGGTGACCTGGAGGGCTGTATGTGACTCACCATGCATTCCAACCCCGTGCCACCTTCCTACTGCCGGGGAAGATTCAATAGCCCCTTCCTTCCCATATCTAAGTGAGAGTGATGTTAGCACTAAGAAATGTGACAACAAAGGAGCCTGGGCATTTGGGAGAGGAGGGTTGCAAAATAATACGCTCGCACACACACACACACACACACACACACACACACACACACACACCATAACATACAACCTGAAGCCTGCACAAGAAACCCTCCAAGTACAAGATTTAGATACAAATCCTTAATCGGTGCTTTGACATCGACCCTGGGTTCAGTAACTCTCTGCTTCCCAGGTACTGACAGCCAGCTAAAACCTGACCATCCCTTCCTTTAAAAATTCTCTTTGAGACATAAATTACCTTCACTGGGACCAAGCAGCAGGAAATGATTAAAATTGTTTTACGTTTTCCCCTATGGTCAACTGCTGGGGGCCAACCTTTTTCTTTTGCAAAGCCCAGATCACTGAAATAACAACGGCTTTGGAGCATTGCTGCCAGGCGGACAGTGCTTCTGCCCGGGCATTGAGGGATGCAACAAACAGCCAGAGAGTTTGCTGCTGGATCCCAGCGTGTTCTGCCTTACCTGTTAGGGCAACTGGGGTCCCCAAAGAGTGAGCAGTATGGGCGTGGCTCTGTACTGAAGATATGGGGATCACAGTCCTTTTTCCTTAGTCATAACTCAGATGAAACAAAATCTAAAAATGAGCAAGAAAAATGGGCTGTGTGTATTATAAAATCTTAAACTGTGCGTGGTCTAAGTATAGGCAAGCTAGACTAATTAAAGTGCTAATTGTATTAGAAATAATCTTAGAAAGAACAAGGAAACTTCCCTGTGGGCAGATTTAGGGAATGTGGTAATGCCATAGCAGACGTGAGATCAGGGGTGAGACTCTGGTCTCTCAAGAGGATGAAATTGATTTGGTTGGCGACAGAAGTTTATATAATATCAAGGAGGTTGCATACCTGTTGGAAAGACTTGGATTTCCAGGACTGTCATTTTGCTGCTGTATTAATAATTTCAAAATATTTTCTATGTGAACCAGCATGTCCTTGGAGGGAAGTGATCTGGTAAGAGAAATTGACATCACTCTTGAAAATGCTGTGAGATCCATTCCTGAAATGAATTTAGTGAGTGTAAGGGGGGGGGAGGGAGTAAAGTAGAAAAATAGCAGAATCCAGCCCATCTGACCAGCACAAATATGTTCTTGAAACTTTTATCTCCTTTCTGTATATGTGTGGGTACTGAGTTACAAAATAAAATATGCTTCTTTCTGTGGATCATAATCAATAAGGGGCTTTTCAAAAATGCCTTATATTTGTATTCAAATGAAATCATTTCATCAAAGGACCATTCAGAAAATAAGCATCTTGAAGTTTAGTAATCATTTTTCTGGTATTTTCACTGATTTCTTATGACTTAAAATTCTGCTTTTAATGAGACTTTGCTGCTGTCTTCCTAGCCCTCTTTAAAAATTTCCCTGTTTGAGCAGCTACTAATACAGGGAGAATGTTGTTGTCCATCTTGCCTTCTGGATCACTTTCTCTGCTGAGCACATTCACTAGTTCAAAGTCTTGGGAACCCTTAATTCACCCTCCTCCTAACAAGGTTTATCTTTCTGCAAAACCAGGGTTTAGATCATATCCCTTTAATACCACGTATGCCTCTGGAATCCAGTGGCTTCTCCATACTGAATTTTAAAAACTGGAGCGAGGAGGTAGAAGACTGCCTTTTCTTAAAGACTAAGTCTACTACAACCTGTTCTAGTTAGATATGGTACGATAAGTGAAGGTCACAGTGTAGAGACTGAAAAATGACACTTAGTTCTACTGGGGGGGAAAAATTTACCAGTTAAATGGATCTGAGTTTCTTCTCTATTAAAAAGAAATGTAGAGGAAAAAATGTTTGGGAACCCAGTTCCCAGCTCAAAAAATCCTACGCAGCACAGCTTTTCTTACATTCAAATGCATCCCAATCCCTCCTGCTCATGTGATGGGAACTTAATTCATGTTTAATACTACCTGGGGGCCAAGAGAGTATTATGGTCAGTTCCTACTCTCAAGAAGCCCACGATCTATAGGACGATATTTGTGTTTTGCTCTTGTAGCCTCCTTCCACATAGACAGCAGCTGGTGATTATCCTTTATGTAATTACCCTTCATGTATTTACAGACCTTGCCATAGCAGGGAGAATAATAATTCACCTTGTTGAAAAAGTAACGTTATCCTTTTGAAGCAATTTGGATTTTGGCCTGACCACACTTTTTTGAATGGAGCCTTCTGCTTTGATTTTCAGTCTCTTTTTGAAAAATAGGAGCTGGTGCACTTGTATTTCTCTCTTCTTTCTTCTTCCTGCGTGGGGTTCTATAGAGTTGTGTTTCTCTGGAGAATGTGTCGCCTGGCATGGAAAAAACAAATTCCACTTGAACTAGGAAGTGTCTTTCCAGACTGTAATTACATAAACTTTACTTGGGTTAACTGTTAACTTAATGAATAAATAACTCAGAATAGGAGGGGATGGTGGGGCATTCACCATTAAGTAGCAATGGAAGCTAATTATTCCATCTCTGATGAAGTTGGGAAATATCCAGATTTTTCCTATGTCCAAAAGAAAATTCTAGGGACAAACCCAGGAGCTAAAAGAAAAGCTGTAAAGGCAAATGGATGCATTCATTCATTCATTCATTCATTCAATAATGAAAATCGAGCACAGAAAGCTTCCATTCTAGTGGGAGAAAGATATTGATAAATGGAGGAAGAGATAAATTGTTAATTTCAGATACAGGCAACACCATGGATAGCAATGAAAGAGGACTGATAAGTAGGCAGGAGTAGAACAAACCAGGGATGCTTGGGGAGGGGTCTCCTAAACTGAGATGTAGATAAAGAGGAGCTAACTACTCAGTGGTGTCTATAATTCTTAAAGTCTTATCACCTTTCCCCTTAACAAATAAATATCATTTAGGTAAGGAATCTACTCGTGTTGTGATTGTGTGATTGTGATTGAGTGTGCGTGTTTTATAAAAGCCTCTCTGTCATTTAGCTGTATTTAATTCATACTCAGGAAGTGATATAAGATAGGGATAGGTAACTCTAATTTTCTGTACTTTTTGACTGGTTCTTATCATGTTTTACCAAGAGAGGAAAACTCTCATGGAGCACTAATGTTTCAGCTTAAATTGTCTTAGGATATGCTACCACAGTGCTAAAATGCAAGGGAAAACAAAATTTCCCCCAGAATTATAGCAAAACTTAACTTGCTCTTAGTATCTACTATTCTTAGTTTTCTGGTTTCAAATAAAAAATTAATACTTTAGTTGGCCTTGCTTTGTTGGACACCTGTTAGGTGCTAGGAATTTCATTAAGCATTTAGATGCAGGATCTCTTAGTAACACCTACGTAGGTATTACTCCCACTGTACAGATATAGAGGCTGATATTTTATGGGTTAAATGTTGTGACAAAGTAGCCAAGGTTCTAACACA